ACCATGCCATGCTCAAAACAATGCAATGAGCATACTGGGGTATCAATCAATACTTAAAAATTTTCTAAAATTTCTATATCAACAAAGCTGAAAGCACACAACCCCTGATTAGCTTGAGTGCCAAATTCTGTATTTTTTAAAGATACCAACCAATTGCATTGGTATTAATGAGTACCAATTCTCACTAAATCAATTGGTTTCAAATTTCAAAACATCTGAGTTAGAGGAAGAAAGACAGCGAGACAGTGTGATGTCACTCCTACAACATTTTCAAGTACAATGTTGGTGGTGTCAGCAAGGAGACAAAAGTAATCTCAGGGGTGGTTACACTTTTCAAAATGCAATGCAGACGACAGACTCTGCAACATAGCATTTTTGTACTGGCTACAGTAACACTTCTTTTGAAATCACCATGCTGTGCACATTTAAAGAACACGTTTTGTGAGATTGTATGTCTGAAAAAATAGTATGTAATCACAACCAATAATAGTATAACGTTACTATTTAGAACAGTCGTTCACAAACAGTGCCACATGACAGACATTGTCAGTGACCAAGGCAGTGTGCAAATGGTTGTAGATACATAACAAAATATATCAACTGGGAAGTATGGACTTATTTTGTAATATATAATTTATTGTTTTAAAACAAGAATATGATAATTGAGTATCATAACATTTAATGTTTGCAATTTAACTATTAGCAGTTAATTGATAGCACCATTAGCTGTCTGTTAAGTTATGATTAAGGCAGCGGCTAATTGCTATGACTAACAATAAATTAATAACATTAACATGGAGAAATGGGCATCAAATATTATCAATCCTGCCAGTATGTAGCCTTAATACAGGCTCCTGGTAATTTAACAGGATCACATTCTCTTTTGTCTAAAAACTGTCATGTTTCTCTGAAAGTACCAGAACGAAGGTGAGAAAAGTCTGCACCAAGTAGAAACAAAGGCAGTCTACCTTTCCAACTCTGTTTGATCAGCAATGACAATACTTTGGGGTTTTTTGCACTACCTAAAAGAATCTTAAATTTGTTTGTTTGTATTATGCTAATCTATATATTTTTTAACCAACTTTTAGTTTAATTTTTTTTGTCATTTTTCCTCTGTGATATCAAAACTGGCATTGAATATTAAGTATTTACTTGGATATCAGTATCGACAACCCAAGAGCACATCTTTTAAAAATTAAAAGTACAAACCAACACAACTAGGCAAGCTTTTAGCTATGAGAAATACAGAATGCACAAACACACACTTAAATACTGACTGACCATCTTCTCTATCTCACTCTGATTTTCTGTCTCTCTCCCTCTGCTTCCTTTCCTTTTCTTCCATTCTGTTTCTCCACTCTTATTCACTAACTCATCTGCTGCTCTAAATCAAATGCTGCATAATCAGGACTGCAGATTTTAGGAATCTGGCTGGTTCAATAGGCCCACCACATGTGTGCCTACTTAACTAGAAGCAGCAAACGCACACGCAGTGCCTTGATCTGCCTGCATTCCAGACACCAATCCTATCCTAAACCCCTTTCAATTATATATAATCACACACACACGCATGCACTTGCATACACAAACACAGAGAACAGAAGAGAGGAGTAGGGGGAAGGTCATGATCCTGCCAGAGAAAAGGGAATCAGAGTTGCAATTCTAGGGCTTATCGCGGAAAGAGGGTAAGTCCATATTTGACACGCCAGCATGCAGAGTATATAAACCTCTATATGAACACACATAAGAAAGAGGAAGGGCGAGTACGTATGCACTTCGAGACCCACGTGCACAAGTGGTGAGATAATTCTTTGCAGTATTTTTGGAAAATCTGTCCACGCAAGTGTCAAGACACTGATCCGTCTCCCAAGGTGTCTATTACAAACACTACACTCAGCAACGTGCAAAAGACTGTTAGGATATGGAGGAGAAGATAGAGATATGCTGCAATAGATAGATGGATTGACAGATAGAGCACATACTAACCTTCTTAGTTACTATTCAGTCAGTACTCACACATTTAAATATTACATTTTGGGTATGAATTCGATGAGCATTTTAATTTAAGACTTTAAGAACTGAGAAATAACTGAGTATAACACTAAACATTTAATGTGCACTGTGTAACATATAATAACATATAATATACATTTTATGGAAATAAACAGCACCAGTAAATGCATAATGAAAAATGTAGCAACAACAATCCAGGAGACTGTCGATCTAATATTGAGCATATTCTATCTGAGTGAGCACCTATGCCAAGTGGCTAGTTTTGGCATGTTTCAAATGGCAATATGTAGATCAACTTGTTATTATGATATTTCAAGAAAATCAGGTTGGTTGAGTCATTTGCTTACAGTTGAGTTACACAACACCAGGTGCTAGTGTTTTTTTCTTTTTCTTTTTTTTTGGTTGGTCGGTTTTTAGGTAGTATATCATCATCAGAGGACATCTTGCTCTCAGACATGCCCGGGGTTGTCTCATTCTTGTGCGCACTAGGGAATGCAAATGCATGGGGTTGCTATAGCAGTGATATTACAATATGACAGTCTTACATCATGTATAAGATACAAACTGGTATGGTTTTAAGTCAATGAATGTGAAGAGAAGTGATTGTCTGTAGTGTTTGCATGTCATCTGGAAATGATACAATTCTTGGATTTCCTTTGAAATGACTATCTAATAACAGTAGGCACCAATTTTAAATGTTATATATTGACAGCATGATATGGCAGCAAAACTGTCATTAAAAATTATGTGTCAATACTGTTTTGTGTTGCCTGTCTGCTACCTGCCTTTATGTAAACCAACAACATCCTGCACCTTTCCGTACGCCTTCCTGGTCGAAGAAGTGTAAAATATAACTTCTGTAGTCATCATCAAAGTATTTACTATTAGCTAACGATGACAAGTGGCTTGACTTGCGGACAAATGTTATAGAACTATTCCTTTAGTAAAAGGTAGTAGCAAACACTAAACACCTCACGAGACATAAAACACAATTATTGTCATACAATCAATAAACAACCAAAAGAAAAAGCACATATTCCCCAGAAATTGTTCCCCATCGCGTTTTATGGAACAATATTATTTTTGCAGATGGTTAAGTCTCAGCTCATTTTCAATACTTCATGCTCTATTTAATCTAATGTAATGATTCATAGTATATAAAATCACATTTTTGTAGTGTGGTTGTGAATAAGGACCACAAATCTTCAAATAAATGTTTTTTAATGAGCTCAGGAACACAGTATATCAAATATATATTTATTTTTTAAATGACAGCTGTCTGCACTGTCTGACATGGTAAACCGTCAATATCTAGTGAGGGATTCAAAATATTAATTAAAAATGCAAAACAGCTGGTTAAAGTTTATTCTGTCAACCCTGTGAGTTTACATACATGTTATTCTGAAAGAGCTGCTGGGTTCTTAATTTGTTAAACTTGTTTTATTAAACCAGAGATGGCAACAGCTGATGTCCTCTGTCCATTATCAAAGCTTTCTGCAACAGAAGTTATGAAAAACTTTTTTCACACTACACTATAACTCCTTACACCTTGCATGTTTGCAAAGGTGGTTATGTAAGGAAAACGTGTACTTGTTCTGATTCTGTAGGCGCAAGCAACCAGAAAAAGCTGCTGGGCCCTTAACTGACAATCTCAGGCTATTGTTAACAGAACAAGACCATGTCTTCAAAACACTGGCCCTGTACAGATTTTAGTAGCATTGTAGTGAAGTGGGCTTAATCCTGCTTCCAGAGACAATAGCAAACTGTGGCCACAAGATGGCAGTAATAAAGAGGACAGATGCAAATGGGCATGAAAATAAAAAAGAACTCAAAATAAATAAATAAACATGTCCTTTTTAAGATTTCATTAGACAGCTGCTACTTCCCTTGCTTGCTTAGTAAGTGATATGGTGACACAGACAGAATGAAAGCTACCATGGTGTCACTGATCCACTGGTTTCTTTAGTCCCGTTTTGAAATCTTGAGATGAGTGTTTTCACTGTCACCATCTTAGCTTAAGAAAACCAGATGTAACAAGCAAGAGCGGGACTTACTACATAAGTCATCTGCCAGTGACCATACTACAGATAATCCTGCATTTTGAAACACAGTATGACCAAGATTTACTAAGCAACAGACCACACATTTGATTCATCACAGTCAAAATATACACAAATATAACATGTGCACTCCAGTCAGTTTAATTTCAAGTAAATTATTGCAAACTAAATTGTAGTTTGGAAAGAATGGTTCACATATACAGGAATCTGACATTTTCTGTAGTAGACAGCAGTCACTGGTTATCACAAACAAGCACACTGCAACAAAATCTACTGGCTGATTGGAGAAATGGAACTGTAAAAGCACAACACATCACTGGATAGTAATCACAGATAGACTCTTAATGGCTCCTAGGTCACATATGTGGCTGCGCATGCATACATTTGTGAGCGTGTATGTTTGCATCCCAAGCCTGAGGCAACCAGGCCAGCAGCTACAATTACAGTGATGGATATGAAAGAACTGGGTCGGCTTCACAAGAGATCTGCCCTGGGACAACAAGACCAGCCAGAGCCCTGAATCAATAAGGAACACACTCACACGGACGCACATATGTACACACAAGGTTGTATGGGACAAACATTTGCATAGAAACTAGAGGGCAAATATGAAAGCCACAAAAAGGAGGGAGAACTGCACATCACAAAAAGTGCAACAGAACAATTACAGCATGACACATCACTTGACACGTATTCAGTTGTTTTTTTCTACAAACATAGAAAACATAACTATCCAAAATGCAGATGAGTCTCTTCCCTTCTGTGTGACTGTCTGTCAGTCACTCACTGAGTTTAATCAGACGCACACAAACATGTGTCCTAAAGCCTGTTTGAGAGTGAGCAATGCTCAGCTCATAGGTCAGTAACACTCAGGGAATGTTTCAGCTTGTGTTGTTGTATGTGCTTGAAAATGTTTGTGGTTCTTACCTCTGGCAGATAGCTTCTTAGTGTTGATGATTTTGGCAGCATACTCCTGACCAGATGAGATCTTTACGCACCTCCTGACCACAGAGAAGGCGCCCCTAAAATGGACATGCACACAAAAATACTTAGGGTTTTTATTCTCAACAGGTAAAAATAAGAGATATAATCCATACCAGTCAACATACAACAAAACAGGTTCAGAAAAATTGAGCTTAATTTTAAAAGACTAGCTTGAGTGAGCCTATGAATGTCAGCCAGATACCCTGAAAAAGGCTGCAAATATATCTGACTAAAATAATCTTGCTTTATTAAAAATCCAGCTGATGTTATAGTTAAGTTAATTAAACAATAGTGAAATTTCAATGTAAACTATTTAGTAGTACTAAGTCTCTCTCACACACCACACCTGCAGTACAGGTTCCCTAAACCGTCACACCCGTTAGCACCTGCAGACATGCCAACTAGCCTTCTTTTGTTTCAGTCACGTGCTGCTCTGGAGTTTCAGGCACATGTATGAAGATCAAAAAACTAGGTCAGCTATATTTGAAGAAGGAGAGGAGCAGAGTGCTGCATCTCTCATCTGTAAATGCAGCCAAGGAGTGGTCCACCTGCCTCAGATCTGCTCAGCACTGCAGCCATGCCTGCGGCTTTGCTACTCAAGCTTTTTCTCTGTCTTTCTATGCTTTTTCTTAACAATAAAATGTTCTCCTTCGTACCAAACCTCCTGTCTAATTCCATATAACATCAGAGACGTCAGTAAGAGTCAGTAAGAAGTAAGTAAGTATTGCCAAGATGATGCTGAGAATAGCCATTATCTCAAAAGAACTCTGGCCTTTCACTTAATTTAGTGCTAATTGTACATCATGTGATTTGATGAAATCAGTTTTACAAGAAAGAGCTGACTCTTGTCTTTGGTGTGTTTAATGACTGGCTGTTGAGTATATAGTGATGTGTACCATAAACATGTTATCTAACATCCTCTTGAGAGCGCAGCCTGCCACTAAAGCTTACCTCTAATTTATAGGGATTTGTTGAAGGAAATGATCATAGCATGACATGTTACATAAGAATTTTAGTTGACTGTCCAGTATGGTTAAGTCGCGTGGCACTATTGCACGCATATGTCAAGTGCATCTATACAGTCCTGCGGGACAAAATATACAGTAGCTGCAGAGTGAAACTGCCTGCAGTTACTAAATTCAGAGAAAATAAAAGGCAATAGCAGAAATGCGGTTCTGGGTTAAACACTGAACACTTTCCCATGATATTTTGGGTTCTTCAAAATATATAGTTCCAAATATAAATGTAATATACTGTTGGTCTCTGGTATGGACCATCTTATTGTGTAACTATGTAAAAATGCTTAACAAAGATGAAAATTGTCTTGGTGAAGAAATGCTCAGATAGGAGTTTCTATGTCACTGAAGTTCACAGAAGATAGTAAATGGATATAAGACTTCTACCATCAATGACAGGGCAGTGCTTTTGATTTAAAATGTATTTTTGTTATTGAACTGAAATGTTTATATGTATCATTCCAATCATCCCAATCACAACGCACTTTTTTTGCAAATGACGTCACCATTTTTTATATTACATTTTTTTTTCTTTACCTGAAAATTGATGTAAATCCAATTCATGGGTGTAACATAACACATACACACATACATACATACACATACATACATACATACACACATACATACATACATACATACATACAATACATACATACATACATACATACATCACATACATACATTTAACATATTCATACTACATAACATAATTACAACATCATTTATATAGATATTGTATGTTATATATATATATATATTATATATATATATATATAATAGTTGCATATTTATTTTTTTTTTTTTTTTTTTTTTTTTTTTTTTTTAATGCAGTCCAATAGATAAACTGTGACAGGCACGTGTGGTCCTTTAACAGCCAAATCTGAGTTGTTGTGGGGTTTTTGCCATATTCCCTTTACTAACTTGTCTAATGGAACGCTATCATTGTATTGTAAACAGACAGTAGAGAAATGTCTAATGCCTGTGTGGGTGAAACTGTGCTTAAAGTATCAGTGAGTTAAATGGTAATATGAAAGCAATACGGGTGCATTATTAATGCCAGATGGTGTAAGATGAATACTGCAGAGGATCATAATTGAAGGGAGCTGTGGCTTCGGTGGAGACTTGAAATCCAGGTTTCCTTTCGGTGATCAACTCTTCCAGTAAAAATACTCGGTGAGAGCTACTGGGAGGACATTCTTAAACAGTTTTTGCTGTCAGTAAAATTCAACGCTGGTTTCAGACATCTTGAACTGTGTACACTGACTACTGGGTGCTGACCAGACTGCAGGTCAGTCAGCTGCATGACCACAAACATACACACACATATATTTTCATATAAACTAAGCGAGCCACCTTAAAAACATATACATATGTGTGCACAGGTATGTAGGTACGTGGATCTTTCTTTCACACCTCTCGCTCTCTTTCAATGGTGAGGAATTCCCTGCCTGGGTCTAAGAGTGATCACGGTTCGGTTGCTTGGCTGTGGAGTGTGTCATCTCCATCTCGCCTACATGGTCTGCTGTCGCATTACTGAGTGTGTATTTCTGTCACGAGGGAAGAGGAGGAGGAGGAGGAGGGCTTTGGAATGGGTGGGGGGGGTCGAGGCAGAAAGGGAGGGGTGTTTTAGCAAATCTCAGGCTTTCACCCACAGTAATGCATCTTTCCCTGGTTTCGCTTTTCAAAGAAAAAAAAAAAGGTCCTCGCCCTGCTGTGGAACCTCTAAGGTCGAGGCATCAAAGACTGCACAGGATAGAGGCAGATGACGACACGCTCCATACGCGTCTTCTTTCGTAAGCACAAAACGTAAGCAAGGCTTCAGATGTTGGATTAAAACAAATAGGATCCCATCGCACAGGCCTGCATGATATACATCAGAGTGTTTTACCCCTCTGCATCAGGCTTCATCGCCGCACTTATCAGCAGCGCGCACAAGCACACTCACAAAAACACACTCAGCCTGAAATCCGCGTCCCTAAACCAAGGCGGCCTATTACATAACAAGCTGACATTTCAAAAGGGATGATGCCAGATGATTGAAACAAAAAGGAAGAAGAACGCGTTTCCTTACTTCCCCAGCTCCTCGAACAGCTGATATTCGTCAGTGAATCTCGTGCAGATCGTTAACGCCATCCTGAAGGAGGTGCCAAGGACTGTGCGGAGACGCGGATAAGGTGCACTCACAAACTGTATATACCACACACAGTCAGCACCGCCCGGTTTTGTCCTGAACCTGCAAACCAAACGAAGGGACTCATGCAGAGCTAAAGCGCATCATCGACAAGAGCTTTAGTGGAATGATTTCTGCGGCAGAAACGCAGCCTGCTAGAGCGTACTCAATCTGGAGGCGTTATCGTCAGCCGGTCCTTTATTTTCTTCACATCCAGCGGCTTGTTACAGCTCGTGGACGCAGCATTTTGTGTGTATGTCGGTTATCTCCTGTGTGTCCTGTGCTGTAAGTGTTGTCTTTCTGCACGCATCGTACGCCGCACTACCGCACCTACCCCCGGCTGTGCGCTCAGTCCCGCCCCTTTGCCTGCATCCTCACGCAAGCCACTGGCAAACAAAAATAACAACATTAATAAATGTAACGTTGTAAATATTAACAGCATTTGGATGCACGAGTATTTTTGGCGTGTCTGCAAAACCTTTCTGAAATTAAAAAATCGCGCAAATGAAATGTAAGGTCATACATAAGCTAGAAACTGAATCATCCCTTCTTCTGTTTTATTTACATTCTTGATTTATTGATGATTAATTGTGAAGCATCAGTGGCAAAACAGTTGTGACAGTGCTGGCAGATTATAGGAAAGTGAAGCTGATGGTTGGTTGGCATTTTGTTTCTATTTACATCCCACACAAGCCCTGCATAGGCATACAGAGCTAGAGGGTTCTGCACAGTATCACAGCTGATCCTAGGACTGCACTCTTCGATTCAGATATTGTAAGTGGAATTTGCTGAAGTCACTGTCTTAGTATGGGGGGCAACAAGTAGCAAAAACAATGCTGATAGATGCACATGCTGTGATTTAAGATAAGCAACAGCCTTCTAGTATTAAACAGACACAAACAAATTATACAACTAAGCAGAAGGACGCTTTCTGTGTTTACTCTGCACAGGTGCTATTTATAGGGCTGCTAACATGCTACTAGCTGCTAGCAGCCTTGACGGTACATGGGGGAAAGATGGCAGAGCTAATGTAATATAATGATTTATTTAACCACAGAGGTAACTAGGCAAACAAATCCAGAAATTCACTGAATTTAGATCTTTGGCGTGTTTATTGAGATGGTAATAAACACACCAAAAGGTCTAAATTCAGTTAGATAAGGCAAAGAACCAAACAGGTGGAAGTTCCACCTTCAGTTTTTTGGGTACTCACATCTCCACCAACCTCATCTGGACCCAGAACACCAGGTAAAGAAAGCCCTGCAGCGTTTGCACTTCCTCTGTGCCTTGAGGAAGAATAACCTGGACCAGAAGCTGCTGCTACCCAAAAAAAAGTCATTGGCTGCACCTCCCAGAAGCTGCTGTTTCAGGAAAACCAGGGTCATCACAGGTGACCCCGTGCATCCCACGCAACAGCTGTTTGACCTGCTGCCCTCTGGATGGCGCCTAAGGTCAATCAGGTCCCAAACCTCAACACTGGCAAACAGCTTCTTCCCTTGGACCACTCATAATGTCAGGAAAGACTATCCCCCCACACCCCACCCCTGGCCACCCACTCACTAATCTGAGCCATGATCTGAGTAACCCTCATCACTCAGGTCACTCACACACAGACTCAGACCGAGTCCATTGCACTACTTTCAAGTACTTTGTAAACTATCCTCTAATGCCTTTCTGTTGTGTGGCTTCCTCTTGTTTTGTATATATATTCCTCTTTTTTACATATTCTTGCTGTCTTGTTATTTATATGTTTTCTTTCCATGCACAGTTGGTGTAGAGCACTCAAAATTTTGTTGTACATCAGTGAAAATGTTAGACCTTTATCTTTAATAGTTTTAAGATAATCGCGTTCAAACATAGCCTGACATTTCAATGTTTGAAAAAGAGACCTGAAAGTGGGTTGTTATCTTTAAAAAATCATGAAAAGTATTTGATATATGAAACTAAAATTTTACAGTACTCATTATGTATGTTCACATTTTGATTCAACCATTCCTTCTCACTTATCCAATTCATATTCACTACCTTTCCAAAGTATATGCTAACACAAAGTATGAAGGAGCCAAGGATTGTACTATCTCCTAAGAGATAGCCTATCCCAACACTGAAACTGGAAAAACTAATATACGGATTGTTTTCAATGCTTCGAATGAAATTCTTTGCAGTCTCTTTTTGCCTGAAGCCTAGAACAGATGGATATCTCCAGATGTTTTGTTTCATTCCGTGAGATGCTCTGCTAGGCCTGGCCTTTGCTGCAGCCACTTTTAGCTGTAGCTTCTTTGTTAGTCTCTCTGGCTTTGTATGTAATAACCAAAAGCATCCATTTTATTTGTATTCTGCCAGGTTTCAGGCTTTTTGGTGTCACTGAGGTGACCAGTACTTTCCTTCTTTAAAAGAATGTATTGATTTGGCCACCCCTTTTCCTTTTTTCAGCCTGTTATTGGCCCTTCACTTCCATCCACATCTGTTTTGCTCTTATTGAGAATTCTAGTGAAAAATATCACGTGTTAGTTCAACACTTGGAATCAACTTCACTTCTTTGGAATTGGCTACATGCACTTTGTTTGATTAAAAATTGAATTAAAAAATAAAATAAAATAAGAAATCAGGGCTGATTAGGAAGTGTTATGCACGGGGCGATCATGGCTCAAGAGTTGGGAGTTCACCTTGTAATCGCAAGGTTTCCAGTCTCGGTCGTTGTGTCCTTGGGCAAGACACTTCACCCGTTGCCTACTGGTGGTGGTCAGAGGGCCCAGTGGCGCGAGTGTCCGGCAGCCTCGCCTCTGTCAGTGCGCCCCAGGGTGGCTGTGGCTACAATGTAGCCATCACCAGTGTGTGTGAATGGGTGGATGACTGGATGTGTAAAGTGCTTTGGGGTCCTTAAGGACTAATAAAGCGCTATACAAATACAGGCCATTTACCATGCAGGCCAGCAGAGATTAGAAACCAGGAGGGGCTGATGAAAAATGGGAACTTCTGGGTCAGTGAGATAATAACAACAGGAAGAAAAATCCAAGGACATGTGTTCAGTAGAAAGGCAAAGATAAAAGCAAGAATGTGGTTTGGCAAAAGTGAGCATGCCCTGAAAAGCAGATTATAACACATATACCTGTGAAGTCAATTAACTTTTGAGGTAATTTTGTCTTGTGACCCCAACAAAAAAAAAAATTGTATCGGTGGATCTCCTTGTCACATTTCAGATGACAGATGGCCTCATGACATTCTCATCAATAATAGATGTTCCCTCTAAAATTACAGTTTTAGGACCAAAGAGGAAAAACTAGTCATGGTCTGACAAAAAGCCAATTACTTGATTATTATGTATTATGCCATAAGTGGGAATCAGTGGACTACTTAATGTAGGTCCACTATAACTAGTTACAACAGTAAATAATTACTTAGACACAATATGCATCAGTAATAACAATCTATTAAAATATGTAATGTATGTCATATATGTTACTATATCATCGAATGGGTGTTTTTCCATACAGAATATTTACAATATCTGGCTGCTCCTATTGTTGATATTGTCAGTTTTGCAATATAAAATGTAAGAAAGGGCAAACAAGCTATTTCAATTTGACATTTTATTTGACATTTTATTTCATAAATACAGAAAACAATTTAAGCACTTATAATCATAAATACATAAATACATACACACAGGGAAATAGGTAGCCTCCCTTTCTTCATGACAGGAGAATACATGGAGAATACATATACTGAAGTAAAAAAAATAAGGTGTTTGATACAAACACTTCAATCAAAATTCTGTCATTTTTAACAGGTTTTCAGGCGAGTGGTACTGCTAGTTGCATATGATGACATTCATCTCGTGAAAGGAACACGGTGATTTCAGTGATTTTTGTTGGTTAAAAAACAGCTCGTTCATGAAGCACATCTCTTGTGTCGCTTCAGTTCTTCAGCTCAGGGTCTGCTGCTTGGACAAGAAACAGTAAAGAAGAATTAATTTGTGTGTCAAAAGTGGATTTTAACATTGTTTGATAATTTCTTGGTTTCTATTTCCTATTAAAAGAAAGACTGCTGTGTTGGCATACTTTTAGGTAAAATCTTACCTGGACATGATCTTGTTGATCACTTTCTTGACCCAGGGGGCCTCAGGATTAAGGCAAACCTCTTCACCTGTCCTTTTCAGTGTGGCACTGCAACACAAATCAGTGGAAAAAAACTAAAGTTTAGATAGAGAACTCGTGTTGAAGCCAACAAATCACAGTGACAAAATCAAGCAAAATTATCACTACTGAGATGGAAAGAAGACTTTGGCTCTTACATGATCTCCGTCTCCTCGCAGTGGGAGTTGGGAAGAATCAACTCCACCTTCTCGATGTGGCGGCCAATAGGTTTGCTTTCTGTCTGAATGCAACGGCAGTGCAGTTCCACTCCCATGCCTGTAAGAAGAAAGCAGTTGCACATGGTCACAAAGTGCATGCTGAAAACATTTAATGCAATGAAAAAGGATAGCATGAATAAAATTGCTTGTTACTGCTAAATTAAGCCATTAAATGACAAAAAAAAACATACCTTCACAGGTGGCCAGCAGGGTCAAAAGCATCACAATGGAGCTGACAATGATTCTGTTGCTTATCATTTTGCCTTTTAGAAATTCTGTAAAAACTAACAACGAAAAATAACAATGTTCTTCTGAAAGCTGATGAAGCCTGAAGCGCTAATCTGCAACAGCTGTTTGTTTTTTCTTCTAGTCTGTTTGTCTTTCTTTCAGCTCCCGGTCCCCTCTCTTCTCTCAGTTCAGCTGCTCTGCTGTTTGACTCTAGCGCTGAAGAGGCTCAGCTTTTAAAGCCAACTGAAAATGACTCACTTCTTGCAGATTGCGCAAGAGTGGACTTTCAGACCCGGTGTGGGAATTCACACTGAAGGCTCTAATAGTCTGATTTATCAAGATTTGTCACATATATCACCTTTGTGGAAAAACACTGTGACTAAAACTCTGTGATAATCGACTGATGCCACAGGAATGCTTCAGATTTTTTTTTTTTCATTAACCAACTACGTCTGCATTCCTGTATTGCACCAGCTCTTGCACGAAGCTTAAAGATTGACCAAGTGGTGACTGATTCACAGATGTAATATAATTTACACCTGAATGTAATTTTTGAATGACTGGTTGATGAATGTTAGCCTCCGTTTGTTGGCATGTCTCTCACATACTCAGTCATCATGAAAGTTACCTATTTGCATCGTTTTCATAGAAAACAAAGTGAAAATGGGGAAGAATGCAAAAGTGGCTAAATTCCCAAGTAAAATGTAGTATCACATTCGCTCATCAAGTCTTATAAGAGCTACAGTATTTTTTATTCTTAAAGAATTTCATTTCTTTTCCATATGAGATGGTAATTGCCTCCTCAGTAATTAACTGCCAACTTAATTTCACTCAGTCCTTAAGAAGAAAAGCTAACTACCTGCTGTATTTCAACAGTGGGTATACTGTGAATATGTTGATCATGTACACATGCCATATATGCATTATAGTAAAAAAAAAAATGCATATATGCTAAAAAGAGACAGAAAATCCTTTCCCAGAACTGATGACACTGAACCTTTGGCTTTTATGCACCCTAGATTACATTGGTGTCATTTTGGAAGGCACGATCGTCAGTTTATTACTTATGCGATTGATATTTCCTGAAGCAACAGTGGGTGAGCTGCCAAAAGTTGTTATTGGACTTGAGTCTGATGCAATCTCATCTAGCTCAAACATGTCTGCTGACATGACGTCGATTCAATCATTCTCACAAAGCAGAAGGAAGTCTGAGCAAGAGAAAAAGACTTTAACTGTTGCTTCACTTAACAAATTAATGCTGACTAAAGATTTTTTTTCTTTCAGAGGGCAAAAGTCTGTCATTTAAAGGCACAGATATTTCCATATTAGTTGTAATGAATTTTTTTTCTGTTTTGTTTTGTTTTTTAAAATAGATTTTTGGAAAAATTGGATGCAATGACCAAAGGTCTATAAACCTATTAACCGATGGTCCCTTTGTGGTCACACCCACCTTCGCTATATAGAAAGGGAAAGCAGTTATGGTTAAACACAGAGCATGTGATGGACCTCAACGGAAAGTTTTTAAGTTAACCACTACGATGCTGAAATTAAAACTAACATATGTAGTGAGACATGTGAAGAAAAGATGATATCCGGCATGTGACCACCAGCAAATGTTAGAAAGCAAATGACAGTTTACATCATCTGGCTCCATGAAATTCCCCTAAAGAAATATTTATACATATATGAGTGACCAAACACTGTCTATTGGTTGAGTTTGAGTTCTGTGCATTTATAGTATTTCATATTTCCTGCACACAACAAAGAAAAAAACTATTTTTACTGTTATATGCAAGATTTCATTTTGCAAAGCAAAACCTATTTTAAGGAGCATACTTTCGTATATTAGTAAGGACATCTCATTGGCATAATGCTTTCATTTTCTGCCATCACAAAGATGTTTAAACATGTACACACACACACACACACACACACACACACACACACACACACACACACACACACACACACACACACACACACACACAAAATACAGGAACTAGACTTTTAATTAAGAGGAAGTATAACAAAATTTTTCCTAACAGCATGTTTCACAAAACAAAACTTCCATAACCTCATGTTGGCCCATCTTGAACCTAAAGCTAGAAGTTGAAGCAAAGAAATTCCCCTAAATGGAATAAATGAAATCAGACCATTTTAGGTGGATAATGAAAATGATGAACTATTTTTAACACCTATTTTGGAATTATTGTTAAAAGATGACTCACACTGTCAACTCACAATGGCCAGGTTTGAAATGACAAAACAAATATTGGATGAAACTGCAGTGCCATTTAGTGTAGGTATCTAAGAGGTGAGAATAAACTCTACTAACTTTTATGGAAGCATTCCAGTTTTTGCGTCCTTGTGAATCATCTCACTATCTACTTGAATTACAGTACTTGCTGCCATGCTGGTGCATGCTGGTAGCAGGCACATTCATTGAGATTTGACAACAACTGGGGTGGGATGAACTGTGCTTAAAAATGACATATATGGTCATGTTTCCTCAGAATGAATAGTAGGAACGTCTGTAAACCTTCAACTTTATGTAGCTCACTGATTTTCCCACCAATTGTGTGTTTTCATTTACAGATTACCACATTCTAAGTGAAGTATATAATAAAAAATAGATATTTTCAAACATTAAAACCACTCCAATCACCTCCACATTCACTAAATGTATATTGCCAAAACTATTCACTCATCTGCCTTCACACACATATGAACTTGAGAGGCATCCCATTTTTAATTCCACAAGGTTTAATTTATTTGTGTTTATGAAAATTTTTGACCATCGTTCCACAAGTGCGTTTGTGAGGTCAGACAAGGAAGTTGGAGGAGAAGGCCTGGCTCCCACTCTTTAATTCATCCAAAAGGTGTTCAGTCAGGTTGAGGTCAGGACTCTGTGCAGGCAAGTCAACTTCTTTTACGCCAAACTCTCTCATCATGTACTATGCACCTAAGCATCCACTGACCCTGTTCTGTGACTTTAGTTGGTTTGGGGCATATCTCAGTGTGCTGTTAGAGTGTGCTGAGAGTGTCACCAAAAAATTAAGGAAATTTGTTAAGTGGAGGACAAAACATGCCAGGTCTAAAAAAAACTACACATATCTACTGCAGATAAACAGTAACTGAAAGCCATGCCCTAAAGAAATAGAGGAAGAAATCACGAAAAAAAAAAAGACAAAGGGAATGCAAGATATATCTGTCCCTTCTATTCCCTGAGGTCTCATCAGAAATTGTTTCAGTGGGAGTGTAGCAGTTAAAAAGCCATTTTTAAGGAGGGGAACCGGGAAGAAAAGGCTAATTTGCTGTGCCAAAATAAACAAGAACGGACTCAAACTCAGTGGCAACAGGTCTTGTGAAGTGAGTGTCAACAGCCACTGCTAAAACTTGCTGAAAGATTTGTCATGGTTTGGGAATCTTGTCAAAATTCATTTAATTATGAATGCAAAAAAGTAACATCAGATTATAAACCATCATTCACTAACATCTGGAACTCATCTGATTGCTGTGTCAGTGATCACCGTCACTGTCAAAACATTATTGATGCACAAAAGGCACTGAATAGAAAACACACAATGGAACATAATCTGTCATGGGTTGAAAAGCCAGACTTCAACATGATTTAAGCAGTGTGGGATTACCTTGACAGAGACTTTTAAAGAAGGCAGCTAACATCCAAAGAAGAGCTTTGAATGTCCTTCAAGAAGCCTGTAGTCATTTCATTAACGAAAAGAAATAGCAAGGAAGCTTGCCTAAGCAAGTTGAGGACGTGTGAAGAATAAAGGTTTACCTTACCTAAACCAAATATTGACTTTTAAGTTCTTTAGAATTGTGCAGACTGTTTTTACTGTCAACACTGTATTTCCATTTATGCTGAAAATGTGCAATACAGTAAAAAGTTAAACTGTTATTTTATCAGTATAGTAGACATGTATATTAAATGCATAGATGCTGACATTGCACCTTTTCACTGTTAAAGCAGTGTAGAAAGATGAAATATTTTGGAAAGAAGTCAAGACAACATGCAGGAAATCTATTTCCTGTTCATAGACTCAAAGATATATACACACAGTATATACAGTGTGTGTATATACACGCATCATGGACATGAATGTCATGGCAACAAGGATTTCTTTGAACTGTTCTTTTTCCAGCGTGGAGTGATTGTACAGTGTACATATTTAATTACTAAAATGTTTTTGATTGAACAAGTTTGAATTTATTTTTTGATTTTCTCCAGTCCACACAGAGTCAGAATTATTCAGGATCAAACATATACATAGACTCACTTAAATATTTTAATAAGTGGCGCTGAAAGTGCAACAGTGTCTTTCAAATTGACAAGGACAATGCCTATTAACTTGTGATTAGTGATTATGATTAAATGCAACTTGTAGTTTCTGTTTGCCAGCATTAAAAATGGATTTGTTTGACAGGACCTATTTGGTTGACCAACACAACATTGGGAAAGTAAAAAGAACTGAATAAAAATCGGAAAAGGATAAGTTGGGAAGGTCTCTTGGAGCCAACAACTGCAGATCTCTCCATCATCAGTTCAAACAGTAGTGCATAAGTACAAGTTATTCTGATATGTCATCACTTTTTCGAGGTCTGGAAGAATACAAGAGATGATTAGTTAGCATGTTCAGAAACACCCCAGGAACCACCAAGGCTTAAAGCTGGTACAACAAACTAGATGAAGTAATAAAGGAGAAAGACTACCTCCAAGATTCTTCACCTCAAATCAAAACCCAGATAGTTTAAAACTTGGACACAAAAGCACCTGGTAAGGTGCAACTTGGAAAAATGTAACCAATTATTAGTGGGGGTGTATGTATATATTTGAGCCTGTGTGGATTAGAGACCCCCCCCCTCCCCCCAAAGAAAAAAAATCTAAAATCCTATACACCCAATTCTGGAATTTTAAAGTAATTAAATATATATGGTGTCCAAAGCATTCCACCCTGAAAAAATAACAGTTCAAAGAAATCATTAAAAGCCCCAAATTACCATGAGGTTCATGGTAAGACTTAAAAACTTGAACTGGGAAAACAAGGACTGAATCATTTCCTTGCTGTTGGCCAATTGTTCATTGTTTGCTTTCTGCAAGCTGATGGGATGAAGTTTTACAATATAACTTGCCTCCATTGAGACTCAAATGTAAACATCCCCTGGACAGTCTGAAAAACGTCAGGATGTTTAACAAATAAAGAATTGTACAACCTCTCACCCATAAACAATGAATACTTTAATCTGGGATATCTGTTGGGGGATGGTCCCGAAGTACAATTTCACATGTGAAATCGCATCCCTCTGACTTTAATGTCATGCCAGGGCAAGCCTGCTGGCTTGTCATAAGCACCTTCTGTTTGAAAAGTTGGTATCTGCAAAGCCTTCACACATATATCTGGCTGAATATTAACAGGTTTGTGCTAGTTTTATTTATGTTTATAAAGGGAAACTGTTATGATCTATGTTTATTTATGCATATATGCAACACAAATTATACAAAGACAAGAAAGACAAATACAAAGTCTTTGGTTTGGCACAGATATCCATATTCCAGATAACTTGTTAGTACCATTTACTGGCACGAAGCTATAAAAAGGCTTTAAGAGGTTTAAGAAAAAAAAACCTTTTTCCATGGAAATCAGTTCTCTTGCGATGTACTTATCTTGGGACAGAGTCCAGGTATTTCCTTGCCAAAAGCCTGCTGCTGCAGCATGTATTTCTTATGTGATTCTTATTCTGTGCTCTCATTTTTTTTTCAGTTGTGGTTATTGAGGGGGGAGAAAAAAAAGTTCATTGGAAAGAGGGAGCAAAGAGAGAAAGGGGGTCTGCAGAGCAGACTTCATCACAATCTTTCAAAGAAGAGGGCTGAGCTGATAGTCTACTCACTAATCATATTCTTCAGATATATATCGTATCTCTTAGATAGTTTAGTTTACAGTCAGTTGCAGAAGAAATGTCTACCATCGTTGTAGCACTCCTGGTTTTCCTGACTATCCATGGAGGTAAGTATAGCTGAACAACTGATGAAAATACAAAACATTTATTGCTCAGAAATGTGCATTTGACACTTAATGGCAGCAACAGAATTTTCATTTTTGTCACGTGCATGTGAATTTTAACCTGCAATAGATGCTTGCCTTACCTTGTTTGTCTCCAGACACTAAAATCATTCTCTAACTTATCTAAAAGCCTCAGGTATCAGTCCTAGATGCCAATGCCTCTTTAAGGAGAAAAGGCCAATTGGACGTTTCATAAGCACAGTGGAGATTTACCCTGCAAACTCCTACTGCAAAAGCACTGAGATTATGTAAGTATTTCTATTGATTTGCCCTCATAAAACACTTGAACCATATGCATATATCTGCTGTCTCGTATCTGTCTTTGATCCTGCAGTGCTACTCTCAAGAAGGAGGGGCAAAAGATTTGTCTGGACCCCAATGCTCCATGGGTCAAACAAGTGCTTAAAAGTAAAAAGATTACGTGAGTGTAACTTTACTGTACTTTGGTAACTGTTGAATTGAATTGAATTGAATGAATGCTTTATTGGCCATATGCAGGTTGCCCCGCAGAGGAATAGTACCCCCCCCCCGACTTACACACACAACAAAGACATCACATGGGAATACAGTCGGAGATCGGCAGCGTTGCAGAGAAAACACTGAAAAATTGCACAACAATGGGAAAAAGTACAAGAGGAAAAAAAGAGACCTCTTCTCACGCTGGGCACCTATGGGAGGACAGCATGAGAACAGGAAACAAAAAAACTCCTCTGCACAGAGCAACATTAGAGCACGTGACTGGCCACAGGGGTGGATAGGGGGGTGGGGGGTAATCCGAAGGAACACAGCAGTCGTCCAATACAGCGCTACCATTTCAGCGCGGCACGCAGACCCGCCGTCTTCCCCCGCAGGAAACAAGCATCGAAGGCGTTTGGAAAGGGAGGGGGAGTTAGTAGATACCAGTGCATATAAAACCTTATTATTTAAACAAGAAGCATATTACTTTTTTCAGAATCCGGATAAGCAGGGAGAGCAAGATGTCTGCAATGACTGAGAAACATATTTTAACACAACCCCACCTTCATTTTTTTACATTAGGGTGAACTGGAAACCTTGTGTGGCTATTGTGTTTGCATGCTTAGTCATGGATCAGGAAAAGGTTCAATTTCTTACAAAAGGAATTAAAAGCACCCACTTCCCCTTAACATATACAATTACAGGAAGATATTCACGATACCAGGAAAACAGTTAATCGTTAATGATTAACTTGTCACTAGGAGTGTCACTTCCATTTTTTGCTTTTGTTAACAGGAAGTGGCTCCTACATTTTTGTTGGTTCTAATGAAAGAATAAAAAAAATACAATTGGTCATTTTATTGCATTCAAATTAATCAAAAAAAATTTGATTTTTTTTTTACATTTTTTTCTGTGAGCCAAGTGAAATAGTATTCCCCTTAAAACATGAACATTTTCTTTTCTGTAGGCAGACACCTTGAAGAATATACCTTCCCTGATTTGGCTAAGATGGACAGAGGATAGACACATGGAAAATAGAAGCACAGACTGCAGTTATAGAACATAAACTGGGTTTTGTTTGAAGGTGTAGAAGCAGGATTGTTTATACCCGTTTTCACTTTACAGCACTTAACTGTGTTCTCTTATTATTGATGTGAACTATCTGTGTTTGTATTTCCTTAAAAATATATCCTTATATACATTACATGTTCATTTATTAATACATTGTGGGGATAAACCTTATTAACTAACGGTAAGGAGGGACTAGATAGTGGGCAATGAGGACAGAGCACAACAGCAAGTCATGAAATGGGTTTAAAACTTTATTAGAGGAGTTGGCATTTAATGGTTTGTATATCACATATGACTGTGTGACTGTTCCATGTGCTGTGCTACATACCATACATTTTGTCAAGGACATTTTTGCTGCCTTTGAAATGTCAGGAAAAAATTGTGGAAAAATAAATCTATTCATCTATTTTCTTAACTGGTTATCCAATGCAGAGTCATGGTGGGGCTGGAATCCTGCCCAAAATGTCATAGGGTGAGAGGTTGACAGGTACAGTCTATTCAGGTATATTGTCCATTGCAGGGTAAAGCAAAAAGGAGAATTTCTTGGATTGTGTTATGTAGACTATGGCACACAGTGAGATTATATTTTCAGTGGAAGGAGATTGCCACCTCTTGGACAAAGATGCATACCATTAGGATTGTCTCATTTACTGAATACCTCTATAGCAGCTGAAAGCAAATATGTTCTTTCAAAATTAAACAGTTTTTACTGTGCCCTTTTCAAGAAAAATCCTTAGCTGGTGTATAATCATAGTCATTTATGCTTCTTCTGAGCTGACTGCAGAACAACTAGTATTTTAGTTTTAAACACAGTAACAAAGTTAACAATTAAAAAAATGTACTATGTGCTTGTTTTGTATCATCACTGCTGCTTTGAATAAAGGCTTATGAATAAAGGAAATACAGTCACCTCTTTTGGGGACTGTGATTTCAAAAGCAACAGCAGATACAGTGGGGCAAAAAAGTATTTAGTCAGCCACCGATTGTGCAAGTTCCCCCACTTAAAATGATGACAGAGGTCAGTAATTTGCACCAGAGGTA